CCTCAGCACCGCCTGCACCTTGGCACGCACAGGCAGGGGTGGGTGGCACAGGCCACGGTCACCCTGTTCAGCTGGAGCATCATGCCTCCTGCCATCGTCACAATGATAAATCAACCTTCCTCCGTGGCCGGAATCCATGAGCACAGGTAGATGCCTGCTCACACAAGTGAGGGCACGCAGCTCCTTCTGACATCCCCGGGGTTTCTCCTGTGACAGCAAGAATGATGGCCCGAGGGAGGGCGGGAGGGGACAGAAGAGGCTACCCATTTATAGGGGAAAGAATCTCTACGAGAAAAGACTAAGCACATGCACGGACAGGTGTTTAGGAGCACAAGGCACAGGCTTTTTTCAGAGCATTAAACAGCAGATTTTAATCAACAAACCTCACACTGACCTACAGCATCTTTCTGTGGGTCATCCTTTTGCAACCCGTTTGATTGCAAAAAAAAAAATCCTTATTCAAGGAATAACAAGCTACAGAGATTGACTGAGTCAACAAAAGCGTCTTCCCATTTGCTAGGATGGGGCTGTGGGTCCGACACACTGTTTGCTCATCGCTTTCTCATTCCCAACCCAGTAGCAAAGCAGCCACAGCCACTGCTGTGCTGAGCACCAGAGACAGCTATGGGGGTTAGCAGCCCTCTCCAGCCATGTCCAAAACAGCCTGCCTAACTGCCCTTGTTTTTGAGAACGAGTCAATTCAGAAATATTTCCAGACTTTGAAACACAGCATAAACCCTACAATTTCAGCAACTCTCCTGTTATTTGTTGTTATACAGGTAGGCTGCTGCATCTGCAGTGCTGAGCCCCGGGCCACCACAATTCCTGCTGAACTAGCCTATATTAGAAAAACAAGCTCAGTCCAACTGAACTATAGGTGCATATAATCCCCGCTGGGCCAACAAAGCCCAGCCTCCCATCCTCTCTGGAAAGCTGGCTCTGAACAAGCATTTAGGAAGCTGGCAGTTCTCCTTGTGTCACGCTCCTGGCCCAGGTCTTTTTTCCATCCTGGCCTTTTTATTCTCCCATTGCCCTTGCAATGACCTGACGTGCTCCCTTTGTGCTCGGGTGCTGAGCCAGTGAACCTGCTCACTTGACGCCTCTAATTAAGTTAAACAAAACCATTTTTTTCAGCAGTTCTGTCCCAACACATTTAGTCGGGATTTTAAATTCTTTAGATTTCATTCAGTCCATGTGCATGATGGTGTCACAAGGCTCTCGGCCCAGCTCAGCTAGTCCCAGCCCTGGAAGAGCTCCAGCACCCTTGACACAGCGCATATGAGCTTGGCAGCAGGGGGGCAGGAGGGGACGGTCTGAACAAAACAGTCACCCAAATAAGGAGTCACCATGACTCCCTGTTTCTTTTAACACACAGCTGCCCCGGCCAGGATCCCTGCTGATGTCAGCCTAAACATAAGCCCTGACTGCTACAAACATCAGCTCCTACAGCAAAGCTGGCTAGTATCGTTACGACACTAAAAAGCACCATCTTGGAAGAAGCTGGGGTCTAACTCTCCCATGAGTTAGTTATGAGTTAGTTCTGCAGCTGAGGGCAAAATACTTATTTAACTCTTCCAGGTCCATGGGCAATCCTGGACAATGAAACAAGAGAGATGTCCATGTGATGTTTTGTCTGGTAAAGTGCTGTCCAAACTATATGGGGCACTTCTGATCCATGCAGTTTTTCTGAGCTCCATCACAGTTCAGTCCGTACTGTATGCCTCACACTTAAATACACTCTAAAACAGGTCAATTGTTTGCCTCACAATTACCTGCAGTTTTTAAGTTTCATATCAGCTTTCAATTTTTCTCTCTTTGCTCCTCTTATCTGCTCCTGTCCCTTCAAGGAACACCAAAAAACAGCCTGATGGAAAATAAATGGAAAACATGGCACAAGAGTAAGTTCCAGGATAGCAAAAGAAAAAGATGTGGACAGTGGAGGTGCCGCCCTAAATATGAGTGAGGAGCTTTAAACCAAATGCAGAGGAAAGCTAGATTTTAATAACAGGATTCAAGGATGAGGAAGAAAAATAGAGAAGCAGCATCTAGAACGAGCAGAAGGGAAGCAAACAAAGGAGGGAGATGAAAAGAGAGCAGCCATCAGTGGAAGATGGACTGCCAGGGCTTACTTCCTTACAGAAGTGTGAACAGAAAGCCGTGCTCCTAGCTAGATTCTACTGCCTTATTTTTAAAACAATGTGTTGCCTTTCAAGCTCTGCAGATCTTCATGCAACACGTGGAGGAGCCAAGAGCCCAGTAAGAAGTCTTCTGCTCTGCTAGACGAAGACTGGAAAAATGTCTCTGCTACACAATCCACTGGATAGATATCTGCATCCCCAGAGTGTTTTATCTGCTATATCTTTTAGGCATAGAAAGGGGCCTTTAATTTTTATTGTTCAGCTGGAACTCAGAACAGTCATAAAGGATGGATTCCTACCTAGTCCTACACCCATGACCATCTTCTTGCTTTTCTATCAGCTTTGACAAAATGAAGCCAACTTGTTCTTTAATTTTGCAGTATATGAACTCAGGTTAAGAGGACTTTTTTGAATAAATACCATTTAATAAAAACACATGTTTCCTGGCAAATTTGGCAGGATCACCAGCAGAAGTAGAGATCTGAAAAATATTAAAAAAATATGAATTTTCAGGAAAGGATATTGCCAAGGTAACAAGGCAGTCCAATTACAAAATTCTAGGGGAATTAGGCTGTATGATGCAACAAAGCACACTGCACAGAGTCTGAACTTTGTACTTCATCTTGGTCAGCTCCTGTCAACACCAAATCTGATTTCTGAACTGACTGCATCCTTACAGATCACTTCTACCAAACTGTACTACCCCTGCCTCCTACAGAACAGGCAAGTGATGCTTGCATAAATGTGTGAGTCCTTCAGGAGTATGTATAAGCATCACCTACAGGGAATAAAGGAGCTGGGGCACCTACTGAGGTAGGCTGTGAACTTTCTGCAATGGTATTTCCCAGGGTACATTACAAGAAATATCAGTGGTGTTTGTCCTTATTCCTATGTTCCCTTCAGCACATGCTACTAGCCCCCATGGGTCTTTGCTCTTGGCCAGCATGCTCAGAGCAGAGTTCCTTAACAACAGAGACCATTCAAGAGGAAAGAAAGTTGCACCTCTGATCCAGAGGATGAGGGGACCCTGGACTCCTTCCCAGAGCCAAATCCCTGTGGATACAAAGGGAGTACAAGAAGGCTCTTCAGAAAGCCCTATTCTGAATTCCCAGGACACTGGCTAGATGGGGAGGGAAGAAACATGTTTTTAAGCGTTTTCAAGATGAGCAGTGAGTTAAACTGGGTGGCTGACAAGAGCAATGAGCAATAACTGTTCTCCTTGCTGAGTTGGACAGCGTTTGCCCAAATGCCTAAGGAGGATGATGAAAATCATGAGCTCTTTAAAGTCCCATTACAAACGCTGAAACCAACACTGCCAGGGCACAGCTAACACAGAAAGGGTTCAGCGGGAAGGGGACTCAGCAGAGCCCCAGCTACAACCCAAATAAGGACAGCTGCTTCAACAAGCAGCTTGAGTGAATTTCTCAGGGGACCTTATCATGATACTGGAAAAAGTGCTTATTAAATACCAAATGGATCGCTCCAGGCCTAGGGAAGAGGCAGTCCAGCCAAATCCTTAAGGAAAAATATGCAGTGTTCCCAGGGACAGAGCAAAACCACCGAAATTGCTCTCCAGTCACAAGCCATCAAGACGATGAGGTGCAATAGAGCCCTGCAGGTGAAGCAGTGTTATAGGCAGATGGGCAATGTGAGTGCAGATGAGGAAGGTATAAAATGCTTCATCCTGAGCCTACATCCTACAGTCAAAAGTCTTGTACTTTCTGGAGTGAAACACAGCCAAACCTTCAAAATGAAAGAGATTGGAAAATGAGTGAGTGAAGAGACACTATTTTGCAGGGATCTGACCAGATGATGGACGGCAAAGAGGAGCAGGTAAACATTTCTGAGATCAACTTCAAGATTGTCAGCTGCCTGAGTCAGTATGAACAGGATAGAAAGACTCCTGAAGGATGATGCTTTTCCTTTATTCCTGGGAAATGACATTAATGCTGAGAGATTTAAGGACAGGCACACTTAAGCCAAATGACTGAACGATGAACTCACCGGCTTCTTCCAAACTCAAGGACAACTCAGTGGAGGTAGCGCCTCTGGATAAAACTCCTGTCAGGGAACACTGCATACCAGAACTATGCTGGGAGATGCAAAGCTTATTAAATGAGGGTTAAGAGATGAGCCACAGCCCAGTGTCCCCTCTCTGCCTGGGGCACAGACACATGCCCAGGGCTCCTTGGGAGTAGCTCCTTTTATTTTGGTAAGAGAATTGCAGCAGCTGGAGAAGTTGTATGCACAGTTTATGAACTTCAGTAGGACTTTAATGTTTAAACTTTAAACTTTTTTTTAACTTTAACTTTCACTAAAAAGACTTTTTAGTGATACACTGCCTCACATGGTCGAAGACTCCTGGAAAACCCCAAGCAAAAGAGTTAAGTGAAGTCTGTAAGGCATGCAGCAAGGAAAATGAAGACATTCTTCACACATCTCTTTTCGCAGTGTGATAAGAGATTAAATTCATCTAATGGCAAAAATAGTCTAAAACCTCTTATTTGTTGAAGGTTTCTGATTTTGCAGTTCAAAGTTCCTGGGTTTTTTTACAGTGATTGGCATGTTGGAGGAAGTCTCAATGCCTCTAACACTGCCAAAATTAAACCTAAATTAAACTAATCACTAAACGATTATTTAGCAGTAAATAAAAAAGATTTTACCCTTGAAAAGAAAATAAACCATGGACTAAGCAGCCTGAATTCTGGAAAGCACCTGAGACATCAGTGCCACATGCTTTGCAAAACACAGTCCTGATGATCATCTACCTGCAGAAATAAATGTGCTTTCCAACCAGCCAAGCTGGCAAACCTTGCTCCAAAGTATTTAAACCTTAAAACTGCAGAGATCTCATCCTCTTACCTGACATCATTACCTCCATGGGCAAAGGATCCAAAGCAGGCTGTTAAGATCTGGAGGAAGTGGAAAAGTAGATGGACCTGAGATGTGTCTTTCTCTTCCTTGTCCTCTTCCACAGGATCAACCGGAGGCCGGTTAGGTTCTGCAAGTTCGGAGGCCAACTTCATTTCCACTCCACCTTCCTCCGCCTCGATCTCTGCCTCAGCCACTGCGTTGCAATAGCTGGAGTAGCTGTCGTAGCGGACTCGCTTCTTGGAGTAGGAAACAGTGTCTCCCACTAACTTCTCACTGTCCTCTGGAGTTGACGTATCGGCTGCCTTAAAGGAGGAATGCACGGGCATGCCACAAATAGCAGCAGTGTAACAAGTATAACTGTTGTTGCGTCGTAACAGTTTGTAGTTGTTTTCTGGAGTGGGCCTTTCGTCATTGGCCCTGTCCAGGTGTATTTTGTGGAGCAAGTCTTTGTATAAACCTGAGTCCTTGTGCACAGTGTGATAAACGTGGCCATCGCTCCTCACGTGGCCATCGAAGCTGAAGGTGCCATTGGAAACAGGTGATTTCACTGAGGTGTGCGTCACCGAAAACGCCCTTCCTAAAAAGGCACAGATTCAGAATTTTCATTTATACAAAATGTAATTCAAGAGCCCCATCCCTCCAACTTCGCAAGAAAATAATGCGGCCGCCATCTGAGAATACAAGACAAAGGAGATCAATTTGCACTACATGCAGTGAATAAGCCAAGTTTCAATTCACTGCAAAACAAACTCTCCTCTTCTGTGCAAAAAGAGATTTGTTCCAGTGTTGTGTCTCTCCAGACGTGCTGTATGACCTGCAGCAAGTCACTTGGGATCAGCTATTAGAACATGATACTTGATGGTTAAATGCTCAGGTTCTTTGAAAGAATAATTTCCATAAAATTTCTTTCTTGTAAAGCAAGGTCTACTTTTTCTGAGCTATTGAATAGGAATAACTAGGATTTCTGAAAGGTGGTTTACTGCTATTTCACACTGAATATGAGGTCCCCTATGTTTAAGAGACATTTATATAGCTTTCAAAAACATTTTAAAAAAAACCAGCAAAAAGTTAATGTTCTGCAGAAGTATTTCCTCAGCTATTGCAACATTTTCTAAATCTTATTTCTATGAACATGCTGATAATTATTCCCACTGCATACATTTAATGTTAGCATATGCTGGAGGACACACATCAAAACATATCACAGGCAATGCTTCTGAAGAAACGTTTTCATTTCCTGACTTCCTGGATTTCCACTACGCAACGTTCAGAATTGGGTTTACTTTTAAACTGGAGGCACACACTCAAGGGATCCACGTCATGACTTATTTGATTTTGCAAGAAACAGTTGAATATTTTAGACATTTATTAACCAAATTACAGGGTCGTGTAGATGTTAGCAAAGTGATATCAAAGTCAGCAGACCGCTAAGTGGAGGGGGGGTGATCCCACATGGGAGAACAAAAAGAGCTTTATGCACACAAGCCTACTTCTTATAAATGTATATTCAGAAAACAATGCATGAGATTTTCCTAGTGGACACGCTCCAAATGGTCATAGGTTTGTCAACTAAAGTCCAAATCTTTTCATCTCTTGTTGTAGTATGCTAATCATCTTTATGCTGAATTTAACCTTCATACATCAGCAATCTGTGTTCTCTGTATTTTTCCACTGCTTCAAAGGATGGAAACACCATTAAGGATACAAAGTAAAGCAAAGCAAAAAGGCGAGTAATTTTTTTTCCCGCTGTTTCTAAAATTGAAATACAGCCAAACAAAATGCAATTATGTCCTCTCTAGAAAATGTCACTTATAAATAAGCAACATGTGCTGAAAAGGGATTAGAGATGGAAATCCCAAACACTAACTTACTATTTACAACAGAGACCTACTCACAGTTAAGGAACCTCGCTGAAACAAGGAAAAGACAAACCCTCCGTGTTGCCCTAGTTTCTTACCATACGGTACACGTGGATGGTTTCCATTTGCAATAGTATCTGATGCCCCAGCAGCTTCTGTTACTGAGCCAGTAAGGGGAATCGTGCTCTCATCAGATGCTTTGGCACCAGGAAGCTCTTTAAAGACTGGTGTTTCTTCATCTTGAATTTTATCAAGACTTTCATCTGATATCCTTGACAGCGCAGCATCTTTCTTTAACCGACCTAAGGAAATAACAGCACTGTAATTTTAAACCCAACCTGTACCGCTTGTTACTTCAGCTTTCACTGTTGGCATCAACAGCATAGTTTAACATGGATACAGTAACGTGGCCACATTTCATACACACGTTCTTTATTTATTTCTAATACTTACCTTTACTAAGTTCATGTGAGAAAATTCTAGAGCATCTTAGTTTTTTCCTGTAAAATTCACCGAAGTAGACAACTGAAGTAAAACACTGAACCGTTCACCTATTAGTGAAATCTGAAACTGCATTTTAAATACTGCATTTCTTGAAAGTAGCAAAGCAAACAAGACTGTAAAGCTAAAAGCTGTGGTCAGCTCAACCTACTGTAAAGTTGAAGAACTCAAAGATGATCAAACTGCCAGGTTTTTCCTCTTTAACATTTCCTTTCTAAAATATAAACCAGATTATATTCCAGGTTTTATTGTCCTGTTTCTATTTAGACTCTAGAAGCAGTGAGCACTGCAATGTATTGCCTAACAAGGTTTTGAATTTCTACCACTGCAGATTTTTAAGCAGATTACACAAATACAGGAGGAATAGTTTAAGCACATCCTCCTACACAAGTAATAGTTTAAGGTGGGGACTGAACTAAGTCCTCTCAAGGATTGGACTAGACCTCTCAACAGCACTTCCACCTCTGAAATGTAATTTTACATGATTTTACATCACTCACATTTCATCAAACAACTACTTACTTTCTATTTTTCTCTTCATCCAGGGACACACAAAAATCCAGACTAAGACAGCAAATATTAAGGACACACCAATCGATATTAGAGCAATGGCCCACATTGGAAGTATCAGTCCCAGTACTGTGAAGACAAAGAAATAAAACCTAAGAAAATCACAAATTAACATGACTTAATTATCCCAGGCAGTGGAAGAGCAGTCTGTTGCAGAAAAGCTAGTGTTCACAAGGTATTCAAAACCAACATGAATGAGCTGGGGACTTTTAACATGACCATTACCACAGTATTTAAAGGCCTAGTTGACATGACTAAACATTTAGTCTTCCAATTTTCTGTTACTCCACTATGACCTTATTTCCAAATAAGACAAGAGTAAGATCCCCACATCAGGGCTGCTGAAACAAATTTGCAGCGATTTTATACATCAATGCATGTTAAACTGTGTTGCCCATTAGGGTAAGTATTTACCTGACCTTTGCTCTGGTTAATAAAGCCTAATGCTTAGCTTAACCTAAGCTATTATTTGCTTAGGATATTAGCTTAATGCCTCACTTGAGAGCTGAGGTTTCAGTCCTGCAATGCACAGCCCTGTCAGTAACTCCTGTTCCTTCAAGCATTCCCCCAGCAGAGCTCCTTGCACTTGTTCAGTAAAACGATCCAACCTTTAATGAAGAAAGAGCTTGGACTCTGATCTTTCAAACCCATATATACATTGACTATCTTGAAACCTATGTGATTAATTCATCCTTGGGGGTTAAATGTTGCCAGGACAGAGGCCTTGGAGAGTAAATATGTATCTCCCAAGTATAAAAAACAGCTTCCACCTTTTTATTCACACACTTTAGAGACTGCTAAGCTGAAACAGAAGGGACATTAAGATTCTTATTTTATTTATTTTGCTTAATGAGTCACTGCAAAGTGCCTGACCTACTTATGCAGTACAACTAATGAGGAAATATTGGTTATACAGTTGATTTACTGTGAAAAATCTTGCATATATAGCCAATTAGATTTAAGAAAAAGAAATAGTTATGTTACCCTCAAATTGGGAATGTCTTTTTATTAATTTCAGTAATGCTACGCTATGGAGTAGAGTCTATCAACTGCATTTATCTAGTACACCTAGTCTGTCAGGTTTTAGAGAAAACAAATTTTCATTCAAAAAAGGTCACTTTCTAAGCCTACTGTCTTAATTGAGGGTCACATCCAGCAGTCTATCTTCAACTGCTTGCTCAGTTCATAGCTCTGGGGCAATAATCTAATCTAAAGATAACATTTAATGACCAGTCTTCAACAAAGTAGTTGAGATCACTGAATATCTTTTTTCTTAACTCTTTTACTACATGTTTAAATGTACACTGCTTAAGTAAATTATAAAAATATAAATGCAAATACATAGCCATAAAATGTGTGAATATAAATATACAAATGTAAATATAAAATATATACATTCAAAAAATATAAAAATATGAATACAAGTATAAATTAAAATATGAATAAACACAAACATATGAGTGCACATAAAATACACAAACATACAAAAATATAAATAAAGTCCTTCAACTTCATTTCCTTCTACTGAGTTGCAGTGAAAACACAACACCAAAGAAAGAACATGCATTTAAGGCAGAAACAGGCTTGGGCTTCTTATCATCAAAGGGAAATTAACTAAATTTAAATAACAGTCTCCGTGCCAGACCTACCAGAACAGTGACTCTGCTGATGTCAATGGAGCGACAGCATTACACTGAGTGCATCTTATGCCCTGCGCTGAACCTTCGCTCCTCTGCCCTTCCACTGCTCAAACAGAAGCATGTGGGGAGGGGAATGATTTAGTCTTGCCCTTGTTAACTCCTAACAGAGGAGATAACCCTATGGTGTTGAGGGCTACCTGACAGCACACTGGCAGAGCACCCTTATGCACTGTGTGAAGCCTCCCTCCCGTGCCTCCTCCTGTGGATGGCTCACTCACCTGGTGCCCCTGTGTACATGATGGAAAACACGTTAATAGCTATGGTAGCAGCGTAAAACACCGGAAGAGCGCGGAGACCGTTGGGCACAGGGTCTTCCTGCGTGGAAATCAAGGAGAAAAAGGAAACATTAGTTGGATTTCACACCGGATTTATGTCAGCACGAACCACCATGAAGAATACATGTGCTCCCCAGTCAGTGCTTCTGGGGAAGCTTCACATTGTTAAAGGGAACCAGGGAGACAGGTTGGCTGCAGACCTGCTGAGTGACCTGGTGGCAGGTTTCTTTCTGCACCTGTGTCCTTATCTATTTCTGTCTCCAAGATGAGGAACCCCTTTCACTCAGCACGACTGAAGGGTGGCAAGCAGGAGAGAGCTTTGATGTTTTGCATCGGTGCAATGCATCCACCTCAAAACCTTATTCTTAACCTCTCCATTTTGACTGAGACAGCCTGGCACTTTCAACCAGCTATGAGAAATCTCTGAAGTAGTAAGTGTCTGGCTGCATGGAACAAGTAACACACATAAAGTGAGCACACGGTGTTTAGCATGCTGCCGTGCCTGCTGCCCGCCGCAGCCTCGTGCCCTCGGCACTCACAAGGAAAGGCTCAGCTGACGGCGCAGCGGAAACGCACCCTGTGAGCCACGGACAAAGCCTTTGTGAGGAGACTGCCTTGGCCTTTTGAGGGGCTCTGAGTGTTTGCAAAGAGCCTGGCGAAGCTGAGGGCTGGCTAATGTGGTTTTGGTTCTTGCTGCCATGAGCTATAAAAGGGAGCTGAGAAAAGGCTGCAGCCGCCCTGTGCTGTGCCCCGGTCCCAAAGCGTGATGCAGCATGAGCTGTATTTGCAGGGCCAGCTGCTATTCACAGACACCCCCAACAAGGGCATGAAGCCCTGTAAGAGGCCACAGACTCGCCAGCTAGAAAGCTGCTCTTTTTTTATGCATGCACACAAGTAGCTACCTGCTTATGGCAGAAGCTCTACAGATCTTACTACTTTGTGAATGGCACAGATGGCAATAGAAATGCAATGTCCTTAACTTGAACTTTTTATGCCTCTTGAATGCTTAAATATGTGGCTTTAATACCAGAGTTCATGTATTTTGATGATTAATTTCTTAAGTTGCTAGGTTTTGAATGCCATAGTGGAACCTTTCCTCAGCCTTTATGCAACTTGAATACTTTTCATTCAAAGCTGAGTCTGATCAAATCTATCATCTGTTTTTATCACTGACATTTATTTAGATCAGAAATAAAGAATGATGAAGCTGAGGTTACAGGTGGTGCTATTTATAGCCAAAGAATTAATCCCTCATCTATTTAAGTTCCTTGTATAACTGCTAATATAGTGTCCCTTATTTTAGGTCATTGTCATGCGCTACACTTCCCCATTTTAGCAAGCTGAATGGTGTGAGAGAAATGGAAAAAGTAGATAAAAGTGTTCTGATTTCCAGTTCATGCTGAGTGGCAAGTAAGTGATTTTTTGCACTGGAGGTACATGGACTGATGTTATCAGGTCACTAAAACCCATGGATTCAAGCTTCTCGAGAATCTATAAAATATGCAGATGCCTATCTCCTAATGTCTGATGTGCTGGAAAACCAAAGCTTAAAATTTCACAGCTATAAAATGCCAATTAGAGTATGTCCAAGAGAGAACTGTTCTGTTTCAGTAACAGTCAGAACAGCTATTGCGAGGCTAAGTCAATGCCAGCAAGCTTGTACTAATACAGAAGCAATCTCAATGTACCATCTTCTGACCAAACAGAATATACAATATTAATTATCACACAGCACCTTCTAAGCCTCAAATACTTGTCAAATTACTTACTCTGAGCATTCAGATTGGCTAAAAGCAAGTACAGTTCAAATGGCTATTAAGAAAATGACTGGTCTCCTGTGCAAAAAGCAAGCCACAAACTTTCAACTCTGGAAATGCCAGCACTCGAATGCAAGGCTAGAACACAACCTTCATACCAAGCACTCATTACAATAGGGAGATTTCTTTACCTTGTTTAAAATGAAGAATCTAATCAGCACAAAGAGGACTCCAGACATTAAGCCAGATAACAGTGGGGAAATAAACCAAGAGGCAACTGTGTTGAAGAAAAGAAAGAGGGAAACTTGAAATAAACAGTATTCTTTCATAATAGTTAAGTAAGTTGTTAATGAGCAATAAGTTTAAAACAGTTCTTATACCACTGGAACGAATGTTCTGTATGTTTACTTACAACTGGTGCAACTCAGTGTCCACTGACACTCATTAAAGTCAAACTAAAGCTAGGCACCATTAGAAACATCAGCCAAAGCATCTCCTCATCATTTTGCAAGTTTAGCAATCAAATTCATCATAAAAGTTTCTTGTAGTTTGAATCAGAGTAGACCAAGAAAGCCCTGTAATTTCCTAATCACCACAACCACAAGTGTTGCATGCGAGTGGAAAGCAACTGCATTTAGCAGGATGCCATGCTGCTCACAGGGGAAAAAGTCTCAATTTCCAAAATGCCATAGAAGCACCAACTGCAACGTATAATGCGCGTAAATTTTTTTCAGACCAGCACTGAAAGTGTCCAGGACCGATTTAACTGAAGTAGGTGGCATAACTCCCACTGATTCCAATAAAACTGGATTAGGGTAGCACTCTGGAAATCTCATCCAGAGAGATTTATTGTTCACAGCAAGGTTAACAGATTGATTCTGCTATCACTGCAAACTCTCTTTTACTTTCAATAGAATTGAAAAGAATATATGCATTGCTAAAGTTCAAATATATTACCATGTTTTCAGTATCAAATCCTTTTAACACAGGCTTTAGGCTGCACCTCGGGTTACAAGGCTTCCAAAACAAAAACAAAAAACTCCATCACATCCCTTCTTGGATGTACTGATCTTGGCAATGGGAGGCTGTGAGTTAAACATGCGCTGTGTGCCCAGCTTTTGCCTCCCTGAAGGTGGTGGGTGGAGAAACATGACTGTGGGCATTCACATGATGGCATTCACATTGTTAGAGAGCAAGAACAGGGTAGTATGAGCTGCCACAAAAAGAATTAGAAGAGGAGGAATGTCACCTTGAAGCATGTCTCTGAGGGACAATGTGTCCTCAGCTTGCCTCTGGGGAAGTGCAACTTTTGTCTTACCCCTTTCTCCACTGCAGACACACTGCAGCCCTTAATAAACATGGCATCAGTGCATCTTCTGAATGACACGACTGGGGTGGAAAATAAGTTAACGAAGGAGTGCTATCAGCACAAAGCAGATTTCTGGGAATGTTTTTTTGCAGGCAGCACACACTGTTTCAAATCCTGTCACATACAAAAAAAGACAGCACTTACCAATCTTGACAAGCTGCATCCACTGGACACCCTGCGTGCCAATTGCCACCAGAGAAAATCCAATAGTAGCACCTACAATGCAATGGGTCCCTGATATTGGGAGTTTCAAGAACGATGCAATTAGCTGCCAAACAGCAGAACCTGGAAAAAACCCAACCATATGGCATAAACAACAACAATAATTAACACAGAAAATTCTTTGCCACATACCCACATTCTTTTAGAAGTGCTGCCTACACTCCACATGCGTAGCAGAGATCTTCTAAAGAGAGTTTTGTTCCTGTTCTGTCTCTAAAAGCAGATACTAAGACAGTTTAATAGCAGCTTTGAAGGCTACATCTTACTGATGACTGTTCATGACTAGCAGCTCTTTACACCTTCACAACAGTTCTGGTTTTGTTTTTTTTTGGTTTTTTTTTGAAGGCTTTCAGTATTTACAGCCTGTCTGATTACATACACCAACTGATCCCAGTCTTCATCATCAAGTTTAGAAAACCTTATTCTTGGGAGCTGGACCTGGAAGCCTCCAAGTGATCAGTGTGAGAAGGTATTCACCATTTCACTAGTAAACTACCCATGCTCCTAAATTTGGATACTACCAGAAAAAGACTCAAAATGTGGGGCAGAGAGGTTTTATGCCTCTTCTCAATGGTGCACAGCCATTCAGAGTCCTCTATAGGAAAAATGGACTGAGGAGGGAATAAGGACTCTCTCATTGCCTTCATTTGCAGCTCACTGTCACACTGGAGAAATTCAGAACTGCAGAAAGGTCTTATCTTAGTCATGAAGTAGCCAAAGATATCCTGGGCATAAGGAAATTACTAAGAGATGATGGTTAGGGGTCTATAAAGTAATGCAATGTCTGACGTCCCTACAGATGTCCAGGAAGGATGGTGGTCAAGAGTGCAGGGAATTAAAAAAAGTACCCCAAGCACCACTTTCAGTAGTTAGATTAGACCACATTTGGCCACCAAGCCCTTGAGCATGCAGTTCCATGCTTCAACTCAGTTTCACTTTGCAAGGACCCAGGTTTCCTGCTCCTCTTGCAGTGGCACTAACCTCAGGACACCAAAATAATTTTGACAGTGACACAAGCATTCTGTGGACCTCACCTATTATTAGAGAATTCTTAGAAAAATCTCTTCCTCATCTTAAGACTTGATGGCCTTAAGACTAAATCTTCATGTGTTAAGAGGCACCAATGCCAGCAATCAGATTGCCATGAGAGATCCTGAATTTTCTGGATCATGACACCTCTTAACAGAGTTGCAGCAGACACAGGTGATAAAGCAAGGTCACTGAACATAGGTTGTTACCCAAAATTTCAGCCTCCATCCTCAATTCCAACACTAGAAGCTGGCTTGAAGGTCTTGAAAGGGAGCCATCTGCAAACGGTGATTTGCTGGTATCATATTCAGCTACATTTGGAAGTCAACCAGTTTGTAAAACTGATCTCTCCTGGAGTACTATCGCAAAACAACTGTTACTTCTCTTGCCCTTTAATTTTTGGCTTATTTTCCCCTGTACTAAATAAATACACTTTGAAACCTTTGACATGAACTTAGAGATCAGCAAGTGGAAGTGAGGTGAAAGAGAAGTCAAATGGTTACATTTGTAAGGAGTCAAATAAACACATAGCCCAGCCATAGATATGTAATTACAAAATACTCATTCTGAAAAACAGGGAAATGCAACCCAAGCCACAGCTGCACTGCAAATGTGTAGTGAGGGCTGGGGGTTTTTGTTGGTGGGGAAATAGAGGGATGGTGGAACTTTTTCGTGTTTAATCAACTTAACAGAATCATAGAATCACAGAATGGTTTGGGTTGGAAGAGACCTTAACTGGATCATCCAGTTCCACCCCTCTGCCATGGACAGGGGCACCTTCCACTAGGCCAGGTTGCTCAATTGAAAACAAACATGAGAGCAGGAGTCAAAATGGATGGTCTGAGAAGGACAATGCATGATCTAAACAAGTTTAAGGAAGCATATTAAGGAACAGAAGAAAATACAAATCGCACCAGAGCAGGACTTTCCTGCAGTGTTTGTAGTGCCTTAACTACCTACATCAAAACTCCTCTCTAACAGAATAGAATAGAATCGAATCAAATTGAATCAAATCAGATGGGTTGGAAAGGACCTCTGAGATCATCAAGTCCAACCCTTGATCCACTACCACCACAGTTACTAGACTATGGCACTCAGTGCCACATCCAGTCTCTTCTTAAATACCTCCAGGGATGGAGAATCCACCACCTCCCTGGGCAGCCCATTCCAATGCCTGATTACCCTCTCTGTAAAGAATTTCTTCCTAATATCCAACCTCAACTTCCTCTGGTAGAGCTTGAGACCATGCCCTCTTGTCTTACTGATAGCTGCCTGGGAGAAGAGACCAACCCCACCTGGCTACAACCTCCTTTCAGGGAGTTGTAGAGTGATGAGGTCTCCCCTGAGCCTTCTCTTCTCCAGGCTAAACAACCCCAGTTCCCTCAGCCTCTCCTCATAGGACTTGTGTTCAAATCCCTTCACCAGCCTGGTTGCTCTTCTCTGGACCTGCTCTAGCACCTCAAAATGTATGTTTCCAGTTTTTACCTTTGTAAAACTAACCTAGGAAGCAGGAGGCTCACTAGACCTGTCACAGAGTCCCAGATTCTGACTCTTCATGCCTACTGACACCATGCCTGCACACCCTTTGCTCTAATACCCTCTGAAGACAGAGTGCTGGCTGCAGACTGCCCTGACCAAGAGTCACCAGCACCAACTTTTGGTTCAGGGCGTGTTTCAGTGCTCCCCTGCTGCTGAAGGCACCACATCTATGCTTCCGAGGCTCTGGTGCTGTGTGCTAGCCACAAGTCCCCATCAAATACCATGTCACCTGCAAGACTAGATTAGTACTTTGCTTTGCTAATCCTGGTTGGGATGTCCTCTCTGTTGGTGGCATCTGCTCAGTTGCACCAGCTGCTGACTTCTGCTCACACCAGGACCACTAGAACAACACTCAGACAAATCCTGACAATAACCTGACAGTTAGTTAATGCTAAGAAATACTACAATTTACTCCCAAAAGTAACTTCTGGTCTGCCTAATAAACAACATTTTAATATGCTACAAATTATTACAAAATGCTACATTTTAAAATTTTAATCCCATTGCTCCCTGCATCCTTCTCTCCTAGGAGAGAAGATTGCCCTGAAAATGACCATCTGCTGTTTGCTGCAAGCATCAGGGGATCTTCCATCAACATCTGGAAAGTGGATACAGTGACTCTTGGTCTCTCCCAGACTGTTGACTCATTTAATCTTCATTGAAATTCAGAAGCTAAATCCATTCGCAAAAACATGATCATGAGGCATGAGAGAACAGGGTGGGGGAAAATGCAGAGCAAAAACAGAAAGAGGAAAAGAAAACATCCAAAAAGGCTCAGAGAAAACACAGAAAAAATATCATACATCCAGAGAAAAGTTAGAAATGGATTTGAGAGGAAAAAAAATTGAAATCTGCATTTTGTAACTTGTGATTAATTCTGAGATTTAAAATGTGGAATTTCTTCTTAATGTCCTTACTGGAGGAAGGGAATGCAACTGGTCATGAAGTTCACACAGGCTTATGTAAATACGCATGCAAATAAGTTGTTTTCTTTGAGCTTCTGGCCAGTTGCCTCTGCAGGGGGTATCTGAGACTTAAAACTTTGCCCTGCCAGGATCAGGATGCCAGAAATAGACACAGAAAAGAAAAAGGACCCTTCCGTCAATGGGAACCGTGAGTATCAAGAACACGCAGGTCACTTACACTTCAGATGGTGAGTGAGCTATCTCAGTAAGCAGAGGGCCAAATGATGCAAGTGGAACCCTGAGATTAGCTCAGCTGGTCAGAGCACATTGCTAATAATGCCAAGGTTGTGAGTTTGGTCCCCATTATGGGCCATTCACTTTAAGGGTTGGACTTGATGATCCTTGTGGGTCCCTTCCAACTCAGAATATTCTGTGATTCTGTAATAAAAACCCACCCTACATCCTGAGGGAAAGACCAGGAACCTGCAGCTGACCTTGCAAGATAACAAGAAAGAGGAACTGATGGGGGGTGCCCAAGAGCACTTGCTGTGGTTTAAGGTGGCAATCTCACAGAAGGACCATTTAGGGAAGTGGCTGCGGTCCCAGCAGTGATTTCTCACTAACCAACCCCTCTTCCCTTGGGTAAGGAAAGGTGGTCAACCTTTGGGAGGCTCAGGAGCAGAAAAAGAACTAAGGGAACCTCCCCACAGTCAAGCACACAAAGCCACCTCTGACAACTACAGAAACTGTCACTCAATGTCCACTTTGATCCATTAAAATAAAAAATAATTTTAAAAAGCTAATTTTTCCCCTAAGAAACAGGAAAATAACCACATGCAGTAGACCTCTGCTCAGCTTCACCTATCTCATGTGCAGGTCCTGCCTAAAACTGTGAGGAGGTTAGAGGGGTTAGGTGGAAATGATATTTAGATCAGGTTTAAGTAGGTTTAAGGAAGCAAATTTTTAAGTGGAACATCCCTTTCAAACAGAGGATCCTGCGATGCTTGTATAAATCACGCCACCCTGTCATGGAATGCCACGGACCTGCCAGACTGAGGAAGTGGTGGTGGGATGGAAGGGCTGGCCCCTTGCCTGGGTTGCCTCTCCCACAGTGAAAGGGTTTCCTTCCTGCTGCCTCCTGCCCTTTAAAAGCAGGTTTGCTCCTTGAGGGAGCTCTCTAAAAGCTCACAAAGCCTCTTGCATATAAACAAAGAGTAAATACCGTGGCTTAATGTTACTTACCTCAGAATATGCTATTTGCTCTAAACAGAGATTCAGTTAACTACCACCAAAAGTAGGGAAACAGACTCTAAAGTACACTGACCTGCTGTCTGTTTGGGTCAGAAAAATGAAAGAGACCTTAAATGTGTGATTATTTATCTTCACTGCTCCCTTAGTTTTGCCATGGGCAAGGGTGAAGTGTACAGCTAATTGCAATTGCTCAGCTAGACAATCAGGTTAAGCAAATGTGTTTGGGTTTTCCGTAATTTTTTTTAGAACAATTCCTTCTTGTACATACTCACTTCAAACTGCTGTTTCTGTAGAATCTTCTGTACAGACACAAATGCTATGGTTTCCAATTTTCCATTTACCATCAGAAAAATCTCCAAAATAATTTTTTTCAGTATCCTATATATATATATAGGATCCATTGTGTAAAACATTTCTTTTTGTCTATCAGATAAATGGATGAACCATTGGAAAATGTAAATTATTGGAAGCATTTAAAAAACATAGGAGACTTAAATAGGAGTACAGGCCACTGCATTCATAGAAAACCAGATGTGCAGGTCCAGAAGATGGGAAGACTTAATTAATAATGTTCACAACAAACAGGATGACAAATACATAACAAATGTTACTTGGAATAGGAAAGTGTTACTTACCAACCATTGCACTCACTTCTCCTGCCATCAGCAGTGGGACAGACTCGTTGTACAGGTTAACATCAATGATACCTTTCCGAATTGTTTCTCCTACTTTTGCTCCCAGTAATACTGAGCCAGTGGTTTCAAAAACTGAAGCCAAAATGCAAGCCTGGCGTAAAGTAACGACACCAGAGCCCACAGCCGTGCCAAAAGAATTTGCAACATCATTTGCACCAACAGAAAAAGCTAAAATAAAAGCAATGATAAAACCCACAATGACCATCCACAGGTACTCATCCATTGCCATCTTTCCCAAAACCGTAGATTAGCTTCCCCTTTGCAAATAGTTAATAGTCAAGGCTGGAGGGCACCGCAACGGATTTGGAAAGCAGATTTCTTGTAAACAATGAGTTCTCTCTGGAAAGTGCTGGGTAGTGTTAGAATGTGAAGAAACTGCTAACTGCTGATTTTCAAACTACTATAAATACTGTTCATTTGGCTGCCTTCGGTCAGCAGTGAAACACATTCCATATTTTGCTCCCAAACCGGCACAACTGCGATGGTCTGTCCTGCAAAAGAGAAAAAAGAAAAAGAAAGAAGAAAAAGAAAAGAAAATTAAAAAAAAAAAAAAGGAATACTCAGCAGAGCCCATAACAATGCCTGTTTTCAGAAGTAAACAGATGACTTAAACCCACTAATGGGGTCCTACCTCAGCATGTGACTGCTCTAATCATAAAGCAATTCAGAAAAGATTCAAATTAGGTCACCTCCAAAGCAATATGTTTCTTGCTGTATCACTGACCAAGAAAATCTTTTGAGCAATTTAAAAGGATTTAGAAAGTTTGGGAGTTTTGTTTGTGTTGAATTTACCGAGCAGAGCAATAAGCCCTCTTTCTAGCAGGAGGATTCTTCTTGGCTTTTTGTACCCAGTGAACATAAGACATGTGGAGTGTATAGACCACACCAAACAGCCTGATTCCCAGCTGATATATATCACCTAGCTTCGCTGATCTCAGCAGAGCTCTCAACATTTTATCAGGTGCAGCCATGGACACACTCCTTTGGAAAATGATTTTATATATATGTCTGTCTAGGAAACACCACTGAAAATCCTCTGAAGAGCATTAATCTGTTGCTGTTATCATATCCCATGCAGTAAGAATACCATTTTGTTACAGCTTTTTAGTCACTGAAACAGCACAATAATGTCAATATTTCCATGAATCCCTACTGGCTTAGAGAAGTCTATAAAAAAAGCATAACTAAAACATTGAGCTCTCTGCTCTTTCCTACAGATACGTATCAATTACTGTAATTATATTCAAACCATTGTTAAAGATACTTTTCAGTATTTCTTTTGATAGCTTCAGATTTATGACTGTCTATTGAATTAGTCTAATCTGATAAAAGAGTAAGCTCTCTCAAACAAAAAAATTGACAAGGGAATTTAAAAAATAAAACCTTCACCACCCAAAAGACTGTTAAACAGAGTGATAAGGCCCACAGTGACATCAAGATGGTCAAAAGCTAGAAGCAAATTTTCCCAAAACACCTGTCTCCTCCAAGGGCTAATTCTCTTCTCTTCTCTTCACAGCCACCACAAAGACATCCAGTGGCAAGGGGTTAAGTGAATGCAAATATGCATCAGCCAACTCTACATGTTTTAAGAAGCATCTCTAGAGATCAGGGGATATCAGATTAAAAGCCCTGAGACCACCTCCTGCTTGCTCAGTTTCCCCACCGTTGCTTCAATTTCATGCAGTATTCCCATATGCGGAGCTTCAAGATCATGCTTAATTTCTTTTGATGACCCAAATGCAATATAGGTCCTGCAGTAGCGAGGAGTAAGGGTCCTCTGAAATAATGGCAAAGTTAAAAATTAAAAGAGATTTGGCATATTCCTGAGATGCTGGATGCTTGAGAACAACAAACAGGAAAATAGCTCATCAATACGTAAGTGTTTTCTTAAAAAACTCTTAATCTGATGTCAAGGATTGATACTTTCTCCACCTATACATACTCAGCAGAAAAGATGTCCCTGTTTCTTTTTTCCAGGCTCCAAACTGGCTGAACAACTGTTGCTCCAGTCTTTTCCAGACATGGAGCAGACATAAATCCTTAAATGCCTTACACTCTAAAATAACATTTCAGAAGGTCTTGATGGCTAAAAACATTTGTATAAGGATTTTTATACTATGAGATAACATGAGAAAACAAAGCACCAAAGCACGTTTGCTGTTTGAAGACTTGTTGCCTTTTTATAATTCATGAGCACTCAGCCCATTGAGTGGAAAATGACTTGACAGAGACAGAAAAGGCTAAAGATATTTGGAAGAAACAATTATGGTCAGCACTTGTTTGCCTGTGAAGGAAAACAAAACCCCACTGAATGCGTTTATTATAAAAATTCTATTATGTATATCAGATTTTTACTAGGAGATGAAGTTCTGAAGTAGAGTCCTTCCTTGATCCTGGAGATTAATGATTAAATTCTTCATCTTGCATGGATTTACACAGTACCTTCGCCAAGTTAGCCTCGATGCCCCAGTTTTCCTGAAAACGGGCAAAGCTGACTGAGCTCCATGCATGCATCCACAGACTCTGTGATTACATGAGACCCATTCCCTTTGGACAAGCAAGATGAAAGCACACCCATATTCCCAGTAGAGATCTGTCTTTTCTCTGCTTATCAACCAACCTACCAATTCACTGTGGTGACCCAATTTGTGGGATAAGGAAGAGTAGGGGGATTGTGACATTCCCCCACCGCAACGGAGTTCATGGGACAGTGTTTGTCAAATCTGGCTCCTCCAGCCACAGCAAGTTCCTGCAGCTTCCAAAATAAACCACTAAGTCACAAGGTTGCCTTTATTAGATTTCCTGGGAAAGGGTGGGGAGAAATCCTCCAGATGGTCCCAAAGAAATTAAGACTTCAAGTGTGTGTATGTGTGCTCCTAAAACACCTCGTGAAGGCCAAGGAGTATCCAAAAGTCAGTGGGGCTTTTGGCAAACAGCTCAGAGAGGCGGCTACATAAACTCCCTCCCTGTGAAATGGGATACATGGCCTCGAGAGAAAAGGATGTCTTAAGTAAGAAGTCACCCCTCCTGTCACTTTACCAAGGTGATGGTTCAAAATAGAGCTTACTCCAAAACTTGGGAGCCTCAACCTGATCTCCATTGCACTGGCACAAGGAACAGAGCACAGCAACAGACAAGCCTTGTTTTTAAGAAGATGAAAATCAAAAGGAAAATAGGAATAAACACACATTTGAAAATCAACACGTAGGCTGCCTTTGAATGGCTAGGTGTTACTACTTTCAAACTTAAAAAATGGTAAGAGATTTTAAACGCTTATAAAGAAAGAAACAAAGAAAAAAAGGCACATCTCTGAGAAAGTTTTCAGAAATGCAAAATATCCTGCAAAGTAGGCCGGTGACTAAATAGAGACTAAATCTTGTACCATGCTTCTTTCTAAAGCTCAAAATACATCTGGCATGCTCAGACATGCTGAGTTATGCCCCTCATCACCTAATCTAACCGAAGAGCCTGTGGTATTTCATGTTTTTACTGGGATGAAAAAGAAACTAGGATGGAAAAAACACCATGCAGTAGGGAACGGCAGATGATCTGCTCTGTGTGTGACACCTGGAAGTCACTAGCCTCTTTCTCTCCTGTGCTCATCTATATTTCATCAGTGTATCCTTCTGCAGTGCAAATGCAATTCAACCTGACCTGCTAGATGATGGGCAATCCTTCCATTTACCTGTGGGACCAATACCCCCTCTGAAGTCAGGTGCACTATGCTACTGCAGCAGACTCTGGGTAGAAAAGTTTGTTTTCCTATTTAGGCTTTGGATAACTCTTCCAGAGCCAGCCCAGCCTGTTCTGCAGTGGCTGTGCTGCAAATTCACACTTGGGCATTAGCAGGGCAGAGGAACTGTGTTAGGACTGGGGAGCTGCAGGACCTGAGGCTGGAGCATGCATCTCTGATGGCAATTAGAACGAAGGAAAATGTGAAGGAAGATGACATTTCAAGTTGTAAGAAGCTAATTCTGCATTAATGCAAGACTTTCAGCTAATAGAGTTTTCTTATGATCCATAATCAGCGTACCACACTTAGAAGGTCTGAGTCAAAGCTTTTTAAGTGGACTTAGAAACTTACAGAACTTGCATCTCAGTGAGAAAAATTTGATTTTTGGAAATGCTAAGCACGTCCCTCTGCCTCGCTGGCAGATGATCCAGACACCCCCCCCGGACTGTATTTTGTTGCTAACTAAACAGCTTGTTATAACTCTGTCAACACAGAATGCTACTTCTTCCCTAAGGGAGAGATGAGAAAAAAAACCTAGGTAACAAAGCACCTTGATTCATGCACAATGACAAGTGAATCCTCAGGAAAAAGTTAGGATCTCATGGTAATCACAAGATCATTTTAGGACATGTTTATAGATGGACATTTACTAAGACAGCTCTTCTGGAAACTGTTCACGGTACACTTCTGAGCCTAGACAAGATTTTAATGAAAAAAATAATACTAAATTTGAAAATCAAAGATGACAGGGTGTTGGGTTTTTTTTGGGGGGAGGGAGTTTACTAAACAAATTGCTGCTAAAGAGAATGCAGAAGTATCCAGCAGCAGGGATGAATGGATAAATAAAAACTCTGGACTAAGTTCAAAGTCCTGGGAAGCAATCAGAGTACATTACCCACCAGCAATCCAACTGTATGACATAAAGGAAACAAGCCGAGATCCCATAAATATCTTTTAATCTTCTCTTTGCAGGAAATTGGGGAAGAAACCTACTGCACTTATGAAACATTGAAAGGTATGCAGCTCACACCATATATAAATCATGCTGTATTGCAGTTCTTCTACTCTCAGAAGTTGCCCCACACTCCAGCTGAAAACTTTCCTCTGCTCTGGATGGGACAGAGATTCCACAAGGTCCCACTTTTCACTGATTTGTTGTTGTCCAAGTATGAGGAAAAATCTAAAGACAGCAACTAGTGCAGCATTTCTCAAGATAACTCTTACAACCACTCCACTTCACTTTATGACAAGGCAGACAAGGGAGGATAATTCCTTTTCCCCTGCCGTGTTCAAAACAGCAGACGTTTCATGATCAACAGTGGCACTGAATCTGCACTGACAGGCAGGTTCACTTCCAGTTACCAGTGGCTGAAAAGTCTGTCTAAAATGCTTACCAGACAGCAGCTTCTAGGAGGTTAGTCCGTACCTCTCTAATTTCTGCATGTTGTTCTTTATGTAAAACCGATCTGTCAGGCTGTACATAAACTCAGACCAGATCTGGCATTCCAGTCTATTGGTACTAAACACAGCACTGCTTAGAAACCAAACGTGATTTATAACCAAAGCTACAAACCATTCATATCAATAGTCTTTATCATTTCCAGTTCATTCTCGGGCCAGAAGGCTCACAAATTATTTACTGTAAACTACCAATGGTACATTCATGATATGAAAGGTGGTATTAATTCAAGTTGTTCAAGACTAAGAACATCCCTATATGGCTCTAAATTACATGCACAGGACTTGTCACAAGGCCAAGCATTATGCAAGTTTAATGCTTCAGTATACAAAAACCACTCTCGACTTACTATAAAAAAAAAATCAATTACCATATCTGCAGAAGCGAGTTTTGTATCAATCAGTTCCTATTTTAACACATTCACAATGTGTTTAAGCATACTTCACACTACTACTTGATATGGAAACAACACTGAAGTTGATAGCTTTCCAAGGATTCATATCCAGTTTAACATTGCAGAGAGGGACTGTCAGTGTCAGCTCCCAAAACTTTCAGAGGATGCTTCCTTTTCTTAGTCCCTATCAACCTTTGTTCCCACCACTGAAAGGTCAAAAATGCATATAAAATATTTAGTATGAGATTTGTTGCTGAAAACATTCACTAAAAAGACAAAACAGCAGACACTTTAAACAGCAGTTCTACAGACAAGTAAGATAGGTAAAGTATCAACAAGTGCATTTGCAGATAAATATCTTTTTTCTCTAACTAAAGGACAATTTGATCCTTCAGTGACTGAACAAAGTCTTTCTTATAAGCAAGGAGTTGTTATGATTCAACAGTGCAGATTTTCAAGAATCATTCACAGAAAACAAGAGTTCATGGTTACAAAAAAACATGTTTTACAAAAGAAAACCATGCAGAGAAGTCTTTAAAACTCACCCAGTATTTAAAAGCTGTTTCAAAAGAAAAGGAGCTAAGTTCTTCCAGCAACCTTCCCTCCTGATTGTAAATACAGGTTGAAGTCTAAAATAGACATCCTATCATTCAGCACAGTCACATCTGAACATGCAAATTTCCAGAGGGTAGAAAGAGGGCTATAACTTACACCAGGCAGTCCGGGGATAAAATTCACTCCGGCACAGGAGAGCACACAAGACAACACCGAGAAGCATCAATGCGAGTCCAGAGTCTTATTCAGTAGGTGAAAATCTGCCTCCTCTTAAGCAAAGAATTCTGCTGGGGGTGGGCACTGATAAAACACAACACTGCGTCACGACTGCTCTAGTGAGACAAACCAATCCAATGAGGCTCATATTAAAAGCAACAAAACGTTTCCTTTTTTTTTTTTTTTTTTGCCCCCCCCCCCAGCACAGGCATAGACAAGAAAGGAAATCTCATTTTTGACCATCAGCTGAGCATTCTGGTGAGATCTGAGGAGTCACAGATCTATTATTTGCAAGCACACTTAAATGCACTTTTAATTCAAGCACACGTGACGGTAGGATACATACGTCCAATTTGGGAATGATGTTGCATGCTTGCTACTTTATCCATGTCAGCAGAGGTCTCACAGGCTATGCAGTCTGCAGAAAGTTAAAGATGTGCACGAGTTTTGACTGGATCAATGCCTAAGCAAGCAACTTCACTTTCAACAGTTCAGCCTAAATTACCCAATCCAGATTCCTTCAACCACTTTCCTTTAAGTGGGAAACATTTTTGCATGTAAGTCAAGGCAAAACTAATGTTTGCCTGAAACCACCCAGCTTAGCTTTATATAAAATATTTGCTTTAAGACTATATAATGCAGTTAAGCTACCATATTCAGCAAAAAGGAATGTAAATCAAAACTGCTTTGTCACTGTTAAACATCTGACAGACAAAAATTTATTTGGACACATTTCTGGTTTATAAATAAATGATGTTTTAAATTTATCTGCTAGGTTTTACTCCATTCTGAGTCACTCAAAGCCACGGAATGATATTCCAACATAATAAAACAAAATCTGTAAATTTTCTGCACCCTGACCATTTGAGAAAAATCAAATAATCAATTTAGATTTGTAAACACAGACTTGGAAACATAGTCCCTTCCTCATTTATTTTTTCAAGTTTGAATAAAGGATATTTCTTAACAATAAGTCAGAAGTTTTTTGATTTGGTTAAATTCAGCTGCACATCTGCGGGGGTAATTCGGTAAAACTGAAAAGTAGTTTACATTTCTTAAGAAAACTCACATGTATTAGCAAGCCTACATCACCTTCTAAAAAGAATTAGGGCAAAACTCCAGTTAGAAATCTGCAATGCAGAAATAACGTTAAAATTCCCCCCCCCAAAAAAAAAAAAGAATTATATGTATCAGGCCACGATGATTTTTAAGAAATGCTGACTCTTTATTTAGGGTTGATGCCCAGCTACTATTAAGTCTGCAACATAGTTGCTACTTTTGGGGAAAACTACATCTCAAATCTGGTTGCAATGTCTTTCCTTTTACTTCTGTAATGGCTGGCAAACAGGCCTCCTAGTTTTAGAAAAGTGAGAGGTTGATACTTTCACACTGGCCTTTCCTTATGGACAAAAGCAACATATTTGAACAGCAAGGACATTAATCTTTTCCTGCAGATCTAAACATATCTTAATACCTTTTTTTGCTTTTCTATTTTTTAACAAGTAGCATCAATCAATTCAAGTGAGAGTGATAATAATTGTAAACATTAAGTCAGACTGTATTTATAGATTTGGATTCCAAAGTTTTAAGGAAGTGAATAAACAAACTCAAAAGCTTCTCAGAGACCTCATTTAACTTTATGAAGTAAAAAAAAAAAAAAATTTGCAAAATATTATTTCATGTTCTCGTTATAGCTGACAAATTCTTGATGTCTGCCTCAAATCCAAACAGTCCAAGTAAGCACTAAACCCATCCTAGTTCTCCTTAAAGAACCACTGACCCAGCTTAGAGTAATCACCGCCAGCGTGCAGATGTAGGTAAAGAGACGGTCGAGAGGATGTGCTATTTGAGAGGTATCTGTATCGACTTCAAAGCACAGAAGCTGCCAGCCTGACCTGTGGGAATCATCTCAGACCCAGGAGAACTACAAACTGGAACCATTTGAGTGCCACTTCCCACGAGCCAGCCTGGCCACAACGGTGGTTTCTTGTTGACCTAAGCTTCAGAGCTCAGTCCACACGCAAAGCAAAGGATATAATAAACAGCACAGAGAAAAGGAAATGTCTTCAAAGCTTTTGTTCTGCTAAATCAGCATTGCGGACTTCAGGCATGGGAAAATTCAAGCCAAGATAGGTTGACCATTAAAAAGAGTTATAATTTGGGATACCACTAAAGAAGCAAGCAAAGGAAAATTTATAAGACCACAAAATAAATTGCGAGGATTGGTTTTTGGCAATGGCAGCACCAGTTTGGTTCCCATCAAATCAAGTATCTGTAGAAATGACAAAGATCATATATTACAATCTCAATCAGATATCATAATTTGGTTTTAATTGTAAATTATTCCGGTAAATCCACAATTGATAGATCCCTGTTTGATTCAACAAAACCGTGCTGGGCAGACTTATATTATGGCTTAAATAATGCAATACGACATGCCAATTTAAATAATTAATTTTAAACACCCTTTGTTTTGTATTTCTGCATCAGCTATTTTCTGAAAGATGCCCAGGTTCTCATTTCCCAGTGACCACTAAAACAAAATGAATTTGCAATTTAATGTAACTTTTATATCGAATATAACTGGCCTTTTTTGCCATTCAGGTCAGAAGGCTACATATTTGAGCAATTATATATATTTTGAAGTACACACATTTTGAGTAGAAGATAAAGGGGGATGAGTATAATTTTCTAACATAAAAACCTGTAAGAATTGGAACCCGAATGCCTGTGAACTGCGCTTGTTCAGAAACAGAAAAGCAATAAAAACATCCAAAAAGTGTAGAATGTTGTTCCGGTTACACTGTGCCAGCTTAAATAATGTTACTGACCAGCCACATGAGCTTTCGGGCTTTTATATTCCTGATGGTACTTTAAAATTGGGAGCCATAAGCAGCTGGAACTGGGGACCCTACCCCTGCCTGGGAACCCTTATTTCCCCTCATCTACAAACAAAGAAAACAAAATCAATGAGGAGGGATGAAAATCGGTAGCAGATGGCTGCACAGGTATCACAAAGCATCTCAATGAAAACCAGCCCTTGCAATACCCTCTTCTTTCTGCCATTGAAGGCCCCTGCGAATACCTCCCCCACAGGGGGCTTGAAGCAGGACACCACACGCCGATCATTACCTGGAAATTAGCCCTGAGGTTCTTGAGGCTAACAGATTTAACAGAGCTCTACCAAACACAGCAACTCCTCGGGGTGCTTTGGTAACTCCATGATGCCCAACAAATGCCAACAAAACTCCTGAGTATCTGCTCTGCAGAGAGCTGCAAACACAGTTCAGGTTGTAAAGAGCCAGCTCCAACCAATAAAAGTGCATTTGCTTCTGCGTTATCGGGTAGCAAGGTCCAACACATTCTATCAGGATAATCTCCAAAAGAGAGGCATCTGTGCTTCACTGAAAGAAAAACCATCTCAGGGACTGTCTGGAAAATTTAATGTGGTAGACATAAAAATTTAAAAGTCATTTAGCATTCAGGGATGGAGCAACTCCTCTGCTTTGAGGAATCAAACCACTTGGATGGGCTTTCTTGATGGCTCTGAACTCTGTCACCCTGTCATCCATACGTTGTTTTTTTTTCCAGCAAGCCTGTGGGCTCTCAAAGACAATACCCTTACTAGGGGACTTCCACTCCCAATGGCCGAGGTGAATTAGCTGTGCTTGCACAGGCATGCAGGGAGAGCTGCCATGTTACAGCATGTGACTGCTTGAGATCACACTCATCTATTGAGTGAGCCAGCCCTGGGAAAATGAAGGGGAGGAACCCACAACTGGAATTGCTGGAGGCCAAGGCTGGCACAATGAATGACACAGGCCCTGGGTCTTGTGTGGCCTTCGAGAGCCATGCTGACTCCAACCCCTGCCACAGCACAAGCCCATGTCAAGTCAGGAGGAGTTTGAAGGCAGCAAACCCATTCTGAAGGACAAGGCTTTGGCCAGCACTGATTCAAGCAGTGCCCCAGACAATTCAGTGAACTGGACCTGTGACTCTGGCTGATTGACCGGAGACTGAGCGTACCTGTGTCCATACTAAACCCAAGCAAAGGGGTGAACTGCTGCTCTGAGCCACCCTTCCATCCATCACTTCCCCTCCCCAGCCCCCTACACAAAGAAAACAATCAGCATGGGCACTGTATTCTAAAAGCACTGGCTACTGCTGACAACTCAAGGAGCATTATCCTAAAATACTAACAGACCTGTACTGACTTTACACGGAACATAAAAAACTGCCCATGAAACACTCCTGCAGCAATCCAAAAATACGCATTTTGCAAATTCAGAGGCTTGTGCAGAGATGCCCTTGGTAAAAAGCCAGAGTGTGGTTGCCAAAAGTCAACAATGCAAATTTTACAGATAAAGGAAACCTGACACCTCCAGCCCCAGATTGCCTGCTATTTCCATTTCGGTTTGGGTTTCAGAGAATAACCACTGTGGAGTCTTCTGTTTGAGCCAGAAGAGATGGCTGGAGCTCCCCTGGGTCCAACAACCCTCTCTCTTCGAACAGAGCTGGAGTGAGAGAGTAGCTATCAACATGCCAAACCACACTGGCTGGCTCTCACTGACAACCTTCAAAATCGGTGTGGCCAGCAGGACAGAAAACCATGCACTGCTCAAATGAGGTAGCTGAATGTCAAAAGGAGAAAAGGACCAGGGGTATAGCCAAAGAGAGGAGGGACGATGACACTCAGAGGTGTTGACCAGGGGTATGGGAGTAAGTGGAAGGAGATGAGACCAATACACTACAGCAGCGCAGTGTATTTTTTTTCGTATGAGGATTGAAGCAATAAAGATATGAAGGGGGAAACAGCAATAAAATCTGTGACCTTGGCTTCATTTCATAGGAACAGGAGCCAAATATCACACCAAGAGGTTGGTGACCATGCCTAATGCTGCCTGGAGACCATGCAAAGAATGGCATCTGACAACTAATAGGACTGTTTCCCCCACAAAGTCCAATAGCTGCTGATCCCTGTATTTCTGAGTCCATGTAATAGTCCACACCTATCCTCCTGGAGCCTTTGCTGCTAGAGACATGAGGAGCACAATGGTGAAGCAAAAACCTTGAGTTCTACCTACTAGGCAGTATTAACGTGCTTGTTGCTTCGCTGTAGGTTGATGATACTATTGAAGCAAACAAGTGGCCAAGACTTGTCACACTGGCTCGGCATTAAATCACTGTCAATGCAGCATGCCAAAGAACGTCCAATAGCTGGGTACTTGGCTTAGCAAACGCATCCAAGAGGACTTACTAAGGGTGTGTGAAGCAGGTCAAGAGAAGTCAGGTTTTACCTCTCACGGAGAGATGGCTCTGTGTTTTATCTGGGCTTTTCCTAGCTGGAAGCACTTTTCCAGTGCTGATGTCCAGGTGGAGCACAAAGAGTCCTCCGAAAGGTATGGACGGGATAACAGGACACATGGAGTGACGAGCATATTCACCTGCAGAAAGAGCTCTAACAGCTAGAAGTCCTCTGCTTGACACAGAGGCTACAGAGAAGGGAAAGTTATTAAGGTCGCAGGATATATTGAGTACATGGCACCAGCAAACAGCGCCAGTGCCCAGCGTGCCTCATCCTCTGAGAAGCATGTTTATAGCTAAGCCAGGATGATGATACTAACATGTCACAGCAGCCCGATAGTTGCCCAGAGGAGAAAAGATAGAATGGACGCTGCTGAGAGGTCAGGAATAGCAAAGGGGATTCTGTGAGGAACCCTCCCTTCTTCCCTTGCCTTCTGGTGTGAGAATCAGAGCTAGTCATGCCAGGCCCCTGCTATGCCCACCACAGCTTGAACTGGGACTTCTCCAGACCTACACATTTCCCTTGCAGAAAATGGCCAACCCAACAACAGGAATGGCACAGCACTGACACAGACGTCTCCACTCCACATGAGCACCGAGAGAAGAGCCACACCACTTCAAGGAACGGTGTAAATTCTGGAAGTATCAGGAAAAAAATCAAGCAAAAAAGGAGAAAACAACATAAAAAAAAAATTTAAGTTTTCTACAGCAGCCAAGCATGACAACTACACCAGAGTGCTCTGGAATATGGAAATACATGCAGAGCATACTTCTTTCAAAACCTGGAAGGGACTAAGGTCTACTTCTGTCATACTAATAAGAAAAATTTACTGTTATACATAAAACAAATGAGCAAGTGGATCATCATGTAAATAAAGAACACTGAATACTCAGGGAAAAAAATACAGAAAATATTTTTTTTAAAGAAGTAATCAAGGAGTCTATAATTAATAAACAACTGATTGTTTCTGGTCCTCAAGACCTCCCAAAGCCACAGAAGTTGTTTTTTCTTCCAGCTCTTCTACACATAAATTAAAATAGGGAAGATTAATTATGTCATTTCTTCAACTATCAGTTCCTCAGTGTTGAATTAAGCACATATTTAATTAAATCAAATTAATAAAATTATGTGAGGAAAACAGTTGCTCTGAAACAGTGGAATACATTACTCCCCAAATGGGCTTAATATTTCAATCAACACTGTCTTCAAGCATTTAACCAGTTATCTCCCACAATTTGCTTTTTTCTTTAAAACTTCAGCAGAACACCTTTCAATTGCCTCATTTAACACAAATAACTAAACAGATTACAATAAATTTGGGCTATATTACAAGTTTGTTTCTTTCAAATTCGAAGTACTATATTTTTTAAAACAGAATAATCCTTTCAAGTTTTAAAAATTTCTCAACCAAGCAAAAAGTACCTTCCTTTCTCCAAAATAATCCAGAACATGGACCATATTGTTCACTAATGTACATTCAATCTGGGATACAATGGTACGTTAACCTAATGTGAAATTCAGGGGTGCAGAAGACCATTCTGTATCTAATTTAAACACAATCATCAGTTACTGACAAATCTATTTAAAATATGAAAAAAATTACAAACTGATCCACTGGCTACTCTAATCCTGAGATTCTGCTTTGACTGAGATTCTCGAGGGTTTATTCAGATAATAGAGTCATTGCACAAAGTCGGAGGCACAGTTCTCCCTCAAGGAAGTCTTCCAAAAGAACATGCAAAACCCCACACTGAGTGCGCCTCGCAGGCAAATACCATGAAAGGAGTAATGCTGGAAGAAACACTATGTGAACACAGAGGCAGAGGTGACACGAAGAAAACAGAAATGTGCAGATTTACTTGTTCCAGTCAACAACAGTAGCTGAAGTTTATTGATTTCAGTTTCAGCAGCTAAAAATCCATAAAGACATTTTTATATGATACAGACAATACTATCCCATATTCAAATTTCTATCAAAGAAATAATATAGGCTAGGATTTTCTCACAGGCATTGCAATTTACTTATCAATTAGTAAATAAAACTTATTTTAAAATATAAATATTACTACGTGCGAATAGTTTTTTTATCCCGTTGTGATTTAGCTGTTCAACTATATGGAAATATCTAAGTAAAAAGATTGAAAAAATGTAACTGTTAGCTACAAAAATAGCTGGACACATTCTCAGCCACTGTCTCTCAACTGTTCCCTTTATATCCAGTATAAAATTATTTCCAACACACTAATCACATCTATTCGGAAGAAACTAAAATTATATGATTTCAAACTATTTTCATTAGAAAAACAGTTCTTTAACAACTGCTTTTACTCTTCCATCTAATTATATACTATTAGAGGCCAAATATTCAGGCAGTATACAGAAATAACCATAGCCTTTTTTTAAGGATAAAACACCAGCTAGGCATTCGTAAGAAAAATAAAGCTGCTCTTTGTCTCTACAAGTAATACTGTTCAATAAAGGAAAATATGCATAAATTTAAACTTTTAAATTACTACAATTAAGTCTGTTCACAGCATAGTTAAGTTGTTGGACTGCATGGATAGTATGTCCTTGGAGATTCTTCACGTAACAGCCAAGATGTTTAAAAAACTACCTCTCCAAAAGAATCTCCCCTAACTCAATACTAAGTAATCTGCACTTAAAACCCCACAGCCCTGACAAGAAATCTTGTCTGTCTAAAACATTTTTATGACCACCAGTCAAACAAAAAAGATTGAATTGATTAATATTCTATTCTGACATCTGTCTAAGGACAGCGTAAGAAAAATACATTATAAGGTTAGTCAAATTAGAGGGCTAGCGCTATCTTTTTTTTTTCCTTTTACCTATGCACCTGTCAAACCTTTTATGCAAAGGTTGTTTATCAAATGCAAGCAAAACTCCTGACTTTCTATATCGTAATGGTCATGGTCATGGTCTGATCTTTTCCATATTCAATGTATGTTTCTAAAAAAAACAAAACTGATTTCAAGTACAAAGCAGCAGCTATCTAATCCACAAATAAAAGCTACAGTGATGTTCTGCTCTTCCTAAAACAAGCTTGAAGTCATGATTATATTAAAGACACAGATGGGAGGGGATTTTTCAGCTTCCAAACAGACATGCAAACAAAGTATTACAATCCAGGGGCGCAGGCAAATGAATAAGCAAGAAAACTACGTGACGTTTGTGCAGCGTCCTCTCAAATCCTGCAATCCTTTCTAGAAAGTCTGGGTCTACATCTCCCTCTTCTTTACTCATGTTCTTCTCTCATGGCTTGGTCTCAGAAACTTTCCATGCCTGTAACGGAAACTTGAGCCAACTTCTTAAATGTATGATTTCTTCATCTCCACTCATCATCCACTTCTGTTTCTGAGAAGCTCCTCATCATGACACCTGTATCTCAAGAAGCAAAACAGGAAACATCACAGGGATGAAGCAATGAAAGATGAATAATAATATGCCTCTGTGTCTTTAATAAAATCCCAAATTTCACTCAAGTTCCTTTTAGGAAATCAGAGTTCCTTTCTCAGGTGCAAAGTTTACAAACCTAGTTTGGCAAAACACTGCATGCCAAAACTGGGGTCACCAATGAAGCTTCCCAGTCTGTACCTCCAATTCTGACATGATGAGCAGGAGAAATCCTGTACCAGCTAGTCTTACATACTGTGGAAAATATTATCAGGGGCCAAGCCTGCAGAACTAGTCTGCGGCAGCCAGCTCAACTAAAAGAAACTGCTGACCCATCTGCTGACTTACCCACTACTGAAAACAATGCCAGTTATCTTTACCCAGGACCCACTTGTCCAAGTAAGTAGAGCTCTAGCCCACAACTGAGATGAAAAACAAACATGTAAGTAAGCCTCTCCTCCACTTTTCCCATTGCTCCTTAATCTACACAACTTCCACAGTACGTTTGCGTTTTTACACACTCATCAGGTACCAGAGGAGATGCTTTCTCAGCATTACAGCAGATTAACTACGAGGTGACGAAGGCCAAAGGTATTTTCAATGTGTCATAAAACTTGGGATTGGGGTGGAGGGCACTTGCCTACCTGTTTCTGCCACCCAAAACTTGGGATCAAACGGGCCCGAAGCCAAGAGCAGCACTGTTTAGAGTCTAACAACAAAAAGGCAGAGGGATGACTCATCTGCAAAATGGAGACACAGCCATCTTGCGTCCAAATAAGCAGCCTAAACCACTTGCCTGCCTTACAATTTTGCCTGAATGCTGAACGAGGGGGTGCAGGAGAAATTATTTCTGCAGCCTTTAGGGTAGATAAGCAGGCACCAAAACCATTCTGCCAGCCAGCTCTCTGTGAAACAGAGGCATGAAAGCAATTTTATCTCTCCCTTTTAGGGTTAAGGCCATCTTTAAATAAACATTAGCATCAAGACATCTTGGTAGGAGAAGCAGAGCAGACCCTACTTCTTATCAGCTACCATCTAAACTTCTCAGAATTCCACCTCCCATCTAAAATCCTCCTTTCTTCTGCAAAAGCACTTGACAACAGCGTGCTCCAAAGACGTGAGTCAGAAAGACAGTGAATCAGAAAAACAGTGTAGTCCTTCACCAACTCCTCCCTGTGAAACAACGGGTCATTTTGGTTCTCTTACACTAGAAAAGAGGGACAGCTGTAAGGACAGAGTCCCATCGGAGCACAAAAAGTCTTGGCTTTGGTTCTTGCACATTGCAACCACGAAGATAACTGACCTTGGACAGTCAAAGCAAGAAACCCTCTGACAGTGCTCTGGGTATTGAAGAAACAATAGCTTTTAAGTAACTGGACAGAAATGTATTTGCTATGCTGGTATTACATGTCAAAGAAAAATATATATTCCCTCAATTCTGAACTCTTGAATAAGTCCTTACCCACAAAAGTGCTTAGAAGGCAAATAGTCCTGAAAGCTTGCACCTCGGTGATCATGAATGCGATTGAGACACTACTGCCTACTCAGGAGAGGCAACTATCACTGATTTCAAGAGTTTACAAGCTTTCAAAAGCACAAAAGCTGAGGCAGCCACACTTGTCTTGCTGTCAGGACATCCAGAACATGCCCATATACCATCGAATGATTTTATACCACAGTGATTCTTAATCTTTTATCACAACCATCACTGTATACAAGAAACAGAAACCAGAACTTTACTGTTCCATAGTTATCATAACTCTATATTGACTCAGAGCAGTAGAAATTAACTGAGGATAAGTAATTCAATTTATTATTTACATCCTCATTCATCAATCAGATGTCTACAGTCAGCACACACACCATACAGATTACAAGGCATCCAGTCTGCTCACTGTTGCATGCAGAAAGAGAACTGCAGAAAAAGATTAATAATTGTCAAAAAGATCTGATGCTGACTGCCACCAAACAACCAAGGAATTTTCAGTTTTCTTTTGAAGAGACAATTTACTGTCAGACTGGTACTTATAACTTTGATCTTCCTAGCAGCCAACACCAGCAGAGGCTCAGTAACAGAAACTGAAGCTTTGCAGCTCATTAACAAAACACAGAAACCTCCCAGAATGTTAACTCAATTATAGTATTTTGGCAAGGAAGCCTTCCCCTTATACCTTGGGGAAAGTCTTAAGAGATTAAACAGTGCATGTTTTAAAGGCACACATGCCTCAATTATTTGGCATAACTGCTCATGCACCTAATTGCATTGAAAGAAAAAATATTCAATGGCAACTTGCTAACAGGACTGAAATTGTTCCTTATTTCCCAAGGAAACACTGTTTATATAACCACAGTGACTGTCCCATACACAGAAATGTAAATTTTAAGGCCAAATTCAACCTAATCTCATGCAAAAGGACAGAGATTTCACAGGTGCTCAATTCCTACAAGAGACTTGCAAAATAAATATTCAAGGCAGCCCCTGAGCAACATGTCTGGTTCACAAACATCACAGAGACAGCATGTTTTGACTAAATATACCCATGGACCACAGGGCAGTGAGAAGCTGCTCAGGCACTGTGTACTGTTGGGAAATCAGGGATGCTAACAATACTGTTGTGTATTGGAAGGAAAGAAAGAAGGGGAGATGTTTAAGGCACCACAGTGCCACCAAAACCGAGAAAGCTACAGGAAAGGTTGATCTTCACTAGTGCAGCTACTCACAGAACTACTTTTGAATCTATGGAGCAACACCACAATGCCTTATGTGCCCATTACATCTTCCATCTCTAAGTGGGACATGTCAGCAGGCAATTCTCAGGATTCATTAGAGGCACTTGGACAACAGTTGACCTGTTTCACCAGTGAGAAAATGGAAAAGTAGACATACACTGCAGTACAGGTGGCCTCAGAAAACCCTAAAAAAATATATGCTTCTCCAACTCTTTCCACAAGATCCTACCCAGGCAGGATAAGCTAAGCACTGCCACGACGGGTCAGATTGCTGGTCCATCTGTTTGAGAATCCTGCCTCCTGTGATCAGGACCAGATGCTTCAAAAGGTAGAACAGCTCAGGTAGTGAATGATGATGTAATTCACCCAAAAGGGAAATTCCTTCCTGACCTCATCAATTAGCATGAAGGTTTATATGCTTAATTTATTTTTAATCCTATTTACTGCAACTCTGGACATTGTCTTTATATATATAAATGCCCAGGTCTGCTTGGAATCCAACTAAACTTTTGCCCTTGGTAATACTGTGCAGTGTAATTA